TGCAGGTACCTCGAAGATGGAGCTGGAGCTATGGCGCCACAGGTAAGTCTCACTGGCCTCCGCCAGCCATCTCTCCCAACTCTACTACTACCACCCACAAGCGCAGCACTGAAGACTACTGCTATGGCTACTAGCGCCCAGCGCTGAAGACTACTGCTAGCGCTAAGCTACTCCTGCAGCGCTCCTCCTGAGTGCTGCGGCCGAATCCCGAAGACTACTCCTGCCTTTTGTCCAACTACCTACCCATGAAGTGCATGGGAACTCCCTATGTACTTCTCGGCCTGCCTCCTGACTGCAGGCGAGGCAGTCCAGGAGGCTGCTCTTGCCAATGCCGAAGGGAGTCAGGGGCTGCAGCTCCTGCTTGAGGCTGTCGTGGGAACAGGCCAGAAATAGCCTGTTCCCGAAACCCTGGTTTTGTGCCTGAGTGTTAGGGTAGGTCGATCTTATGAGGGCCCGGAAGTGGCCCTCCGTTTCAGGCTGAAAAGCCTCAGGGCTGAAAAGCCCTGTTTTAGGCTGAAACCGAAATAGGGCCTGCAGGCCCTCGTTTTCAGTTTACAGGCTGAAACGACAGGGGCCTGTAAGCGCTTATTTCTAGGCTTTTAGGCTGAGAATGCGGGACCGGCCCAGGTCCGTGTGGCTACGCAGTAGGCCACAGTCTGGGTGAAAGATCTGAACTAACTGTTGAGCAGGATATTTCAAGAAAGTTGTTGCCTGTTTACTATGGCCCATGGCAGGTACTTGATACAGTGGGGGCAGATCCATTTGGACCTTCCTATGTGCTTGCTGTACCCCCTCATATCAAGACCTATCCCATCTTCCATGCCTCAAAACTGCTGCCTTTCACCTCTGCTGATGCATTCCTTGATAGGACTCTCCAGTTTGGACCTCCAATCCCTGGAAAGGGATACGAGGTTGAGAGCATCGAAGATCAGTGGGGCACAGGCTCCAACTGTGAATACCTTGTGAAGGTCCTTTTCCAACCTCACGCAGAGGACCAATGGTTCACAACGAACTTCTCAAGTCTGCAAATTCAGTTGTACGCGGCTATGAGGCTGAACAGAAGAGGCAACCTCTCAGACGTTCTCGTCGAGGACACTCCTAGCTCGGGGTCCTCGGTCCGCAGGAGGGTAGGAATGCAATGAATTGCAGTGAAGATCGGGCTGTACACTAACTCTCTGCTGCCTGTTTTGCGCTTCCCGGGACTTGATCCCGTGACTTGTAGTTCGTTTGCTGTGTTTGACTGTTTTGAGGCCTGTAGGGCTTGAACCTTGAACCTGTCGCTAGTAGTCCCTACTTCGCAGTCTTATGCCTTTCAGACTCGTTGTTTTGTCCTTTCTGCCTTTCTAGAAACTGATACGCCGTAGGTCTTCCTTCTTGGGTGTCTTAGCCTCGGGTTCCTTAGCTTACGTTTCCATCTAGATGCAGTTAGGCAGATCTTGATTACTAGGCCGTAGGTGTTTGCTGGTGGGACGGTCAGATAGGTCTGTAGGTAGCTGCTGGGTGGTAGGCCTAGGGAAGTCGTGTAGAGGTAGGCAGGGACCGAGAAATCTCGGTTCTGTTTTCGACATTTTTTCCACACAGTGCTGCTGGAGGTCGGCGCTAGAAGCTGCGCTAATTTTAGCGCTCGGTCTCCTCCTTCCTCGCAGGAAGTGTGCGACCATAGCTGGTGTTACGGCAAGTCTGGCCCAGGCATCAGGCCCAGTTCTGTGGGGCGCTCCTCCATCGCTGTTCTGTTGGGGTTTCGACAGCTGCCATCGAAGCAGCTTCTCCATGCCTGCTTCGAAGTGGCAGACCATCATCTTCATCGAGTTGCTGCTCTTCTTCATCATCCTGGGAGCTGGTCTCCCCTGCTGAGTGGACGCTTCATCTGCAGTGGGCTTCTTGAGTGGTGCAGAGAGGGGTGTTGGGTTCAGAAGGGTGTGTGGCGATTGGCAGGCTTGATAGGTTGGGTGCCTGCAGGCACCATAGCAAGAGCTTGAAGAAGAGGGATGAAGAAGAAGACTCCCGGGTACCTCAATGAAACTCTGTAAATAATTTTGTCCGTGGGTGTTGATAACGTGGTTGGGATTTTTGGAACCAATACTCTGGATTGATTGGAGGAGGACGAGGGATTGCAGAACTGAAATTCGTTTTCAGTTCTCTGTGTATTTTGAGCTTCCACTGTGCATATCTCCCCTCCTGTAATGACCCGTCATCACACGGACTGTAACAGACAGCTGATTTCTGAGTTTGCTCGTGGAATGCATGCCGTACTAAGTCCCCTGCCTGTTGAGTGGGTTGTGTTGGGTCTGAGTGCGTGCCTGTATGTGGTTGGCGTGCCTGGGTGATGAATGCGTGCCTGACTGAGTGCTTGAGTGTGTGTGTGACCCCGTCGGGGCCATGGATGTTGGGCAGGCCCGGTAGGGCCGGTACTT